TACGTTTCAGCATTTTACTTTTAAAAAGAACAGAATTCATGATGATTTTCAACTTTTTATTTCTTTAATTTGTTTGATTTTTTTAAAAACTCCAACACAGTTGAGCAAGAGACCAACAAAACTCCTTGTAACACCAAAGATAAACTGAAGGCAAGGATTATGGCAGCATTCACCAACTTAAATAAGGAAACCGTCCAAGATTTGCAGGAGATTCCGAAGTTGTCTGGAGGCCGTGTTTGAAGCCTGTTGTATAGGGATAAAGTATCGTTGCCGACAGTGGAGTTTGAAAACAGATCACCAGGGAGGAATCACAGGTGATTCCATTTCTAATAAGTAGACCACGTGATCATAAAGAAAATGTATATATGGGAATTAGCGTGGCGTCTAAGTGATCGCTCTATCCTATTCTCTGTAGTATTTCTCTATACTAATAAACTCTACGGATTACTATTCGGCGGTTACTATTCGAACAAGTATTAATAGTGCGAGTATTATTCGAAGGAGTTACTGGTATTTATTGTATATAAAAATACAATTATGGCACAAGGCCGAAAAAGGGGAGGGTTTAAGGCTGGTCTTCGCTAACTATCTTATACCTAGATAATCCGATTCACTCATTACAATTTGCGCATTCACTACAAAAATTCGTCCGTCACCAATCAATCCTCCATACACCATAATACCACATCCTCTCAAGGAGGGGCCTACAAAACGCACCCCATGCCATAAAAAATTAATGATAATAAATTATTATAAATAAAAATCTAAAGATGAAAAATGAGAGAGAAGGAAGATGAACCCAATAACAAACTAAACATGAACACAAAGCCAACTAAAGCATAACGGATGTTAGTAGAGCCCGTCCAACCCTCAAAAAAAAGAGGCCGCTGTATTCTGCCCATTTGGACACAATCATGAGACTCTCTCGCTACTACTAGTATCTGAAATTCCAAAGTCTCGGCTACAGCGAGAATTACGAACGTGATAACGAGCATTCGTTGACATCACAAAAGTGACAACTTGTAAGCGTCTGACATCACGAATAAGCCAATGGTGATTTTATTGAATAAATCTACTGTTTAGTATTTAGTACTTTTTGTGTAGTTTTGGTAAATATATCTGTTAAAATGAGTTGTCAGTGTTATTTTCATTTTTGCGTCATTTAGACAAACCACCCACATTTCCCCTGTATTCCATCGGTGGGAAGTAAGTTTATTCAATACAGCTAAAACAAAGGTAAAAAAAACAAAGGTGTACTAAATAATATAGGATTCAATCTAATTACAGACATAATATCTTTGTAGTAATTACTCCCTAACTAACCGAAAACAGCTTCATAGTTTGATGAATTGTAACTTGACTCAGAATTAAAAGTTAGATCTGGAATGTTCCTCTGAAATTATGCACACGTGTTATCCTTTCGCTGTCATGTCTTCAACTGGGATTTCGGGCAAACTTATGCAACCCGTTTTGGCGGGAAAGTGTGAGTTGCAGCCGTTGCTTGTTGTCCTGATACAGTCTTTAAGTCTACAGGGAAAGACAACTCTAAATTCAAAACCTGTGGATCTTCCTTTCGGAACTTTCTGACACACTGTGCACCAGTTTTCTATATTCGGCTCTTCTAAAAGGTGTAGGCGGTTCTACACAAACCTGCACTACTCTAAAGGAGTCGACCATAGTCGGGATCATCGAGTCAGTGTGAGTGACTCTTTCATTATTTGCATAGTATGTGCTTCGTCAGAGCTACATACAAATTCAAAGTTTTCATTCTCATAGACAGGTTGCCACCCAAGGCTATAGAATCTGCTATTTTAATAGTCCTGTTATTTTACCCATAGCTGGGGGAGAAGATATAGATTCATATCTTTCCCAAGGGTATTAGCACGTAAGTGAATGTAATGGACTCGAATGGAATTTGAACTCGGCTCTCCAATTCTTTAATCCGAACCGCTATCCATTATTCCACCGTTCTTCACCATTATAATCAAATCATATGAGCGAATAGTCTGGTTGTTTGGGGTTGCTAAGCCCACATACATTAAAAATGGCGACAGAGTCGTCAGTATTTACTAACATAGGAACGGACACTGAGTTCAGCCCTGAATGGTGACTGTTTGTTTCATACCTGAATGCAAAATTCAGACCATATAGGTTGGGTAGTAGCTCGACTATTTATATATGCTAATCATTGGGGCATTATGGGTAAAAAGGTCATCTATTTCCGCTTTATTGTGTTATTCTAACGAATAGGCGGGAATGGTTATTTTAAATTTTTCTAATGGCTATTGAATAGAAATAATTATGGGACTGTCTGCGGTTGTTTTCTAGCAATTGTATTGAGTTTTTCTTCAGTCATTTATTTATTTATTATTAATTATTTGGGGGTGTTTTGCTTTGGTTCGTTGATTTTGTTTAGCGGCCTATCAACACCTCTATGGGTTATTTCATGCCGAAATCTAAATATTTTGAACACAATTTTATGGCTTCAATATTTTGAACGTAATTGCATGCCTTCAATTCTAGATAAAATATATAGCTATGTATTGTTGGTTAAATCCGAACCGCTATCCATTATTCCACCGTACTTCACCATTATAATCAAATCATATGAGCTAATAATTAAAAGTTAGACCTGGAACGTTCCTCTGAAATTATGCACACGTGTTATCCTTTATCTGTCATGTCTCCAACTAATATTTCGGGCAAACTCATGCAACCAGCTTTGGCGGCAAAGTGAGTTACGGCTACTGCTTCGTGTCCCGCCCGATACAGTCTGACATCTTTAATCCGGAACTTCGTCCGATACTTCTCACTTTATTTTTTAATCAACCGCCATTAGTTTACTGAGAGGCGGCAAAGGCAATGCCACACGTTGTTTACACCTTTCCGCAGCAGCCGACAACAGCAGGGTGTTCTGGTCATACGGTTTTGCTCATTTCTTATATATACCTGCCTATTTACCCATTCAGGATAGTAAGTATATTTATTGCACAAATATACAAATGCGTCCCAAGGAGGAGGAAGGATGGTTTTCATTCGTCCTACGCATAATTTCGCTAGCCTCAATCACTGACCCACTCGTTCGCATATTCTTTCTTTCACCAAAACATCTCATCCACACAACACTGCTTTACACAGACAATATAATGCTATATTTGCTCAAAGAAATCCTACTTAATCCCATATGTACAATCTTTGTGGAGGACAAGGTTGATAAAATTAAACAAAATATTTCCTCAAAGTTCATGAAATAAAAAGTATTTAAACAATAAAACAAAACAAGTGTTAGTAAAGGGAACCCCTCTCAGTCTGATCATGGCAGTGATAACGGCCAACTGGGAGGGAAAATCTGCGGGATTAATAAAAGCAATCCATGCAGACGTACTCTCCCTCGAGACGAAAGACATTCCACAATTGCCAGAGGACCGTAAACTCTGTCACCTAAATGGGGAAGGGAAGGGGAATATACGGAAAATAAAAGGAGCAAAAATAAAAGGCACAGATGAGGACTGATGACCATCTACACCAGCGTTTTTCAAACTTTTTATCCTTGCGTAACCCTTAAAATAAATTACGTCTCAAAGAACCTCTGCGCAAAAACAAAATTATATACCATATTTTTCTCATTTTATTTTCATCGTAGTTCACGTGGTAAATATCATAGAATATATTTTTGAATAACTGGTTTAAGGAAAATTCAATACTTCTTTGTCAAATTTTTACCAATGATTGTTATATTTTTTAATAACATTATAGGTTAGATAGGATGATGTCTATATTACAATAACCCAGAATATATTGTGTGTGTTTAGTAATATTACGTATATGAAATTAAATAAAAAAAATCAAAAGTGCATTAGTTTATCTCACCTGTTCTCGCGTAACACTTGGGGATTTTTTCCAGGGAATCCCGGTTCAGAAACGCTGATCTATACCATCGGTAAGTTAAATTCAGAAGGAAAACCGACCTAAGAACTAACCTGGAAGGACAAAGCTCCAATCAGACAAGCACTATCCTCATTCCTAGGTATGCCACTATAAACAAGTCCCCTCATCACGCAAACCAAACATGAAACAATCAACCACCTTTCGCCGAAGTTCAGTAAATGTATATTTATTGTTTTTTGGTTTTTAGGCATTTTTAGCCTTTGTATTGCAATAAACAATAAACGCCTTGTATGGAAACATTAATGACCGATATTTATTATGCAGAATTACATAATTGTGGCACAGGGCCGAAATAGAGGAGGGGTTGAGGCTGGTCCACACTAACTATCTTATACCTAGCTAATCAGATTCGCGACTCATTCACTCATTACAATTTTCACATTCACCATAAAAACTCGTCCGTCACCATTCAATCCTCCATACACCATAATACCACACCCTCACAAGGGGGACCTAAAAAACGCGCCCCATGCCATAAAATTTAATGATAAATTATTATATATACAATTCTAATAGTGAAAAATGAGAGCGGAGGGAAATGAAACCAATAATAAACTAAAAATCAACACAAAGTGAACTAAACATAACTAATGGAGACATTAATTACCGTTTCAATTCTTTGTTTTTGAGGGATTTCTGTCATCCGACATTTTTGTAGTCCGGCAATGAAATGATCTCAGTGGTGCCAAATTAAATACGTCAGGACGAATATTACAATAAAATTAACACGTCATAAAAATTCAGGTGTTTTTATCAAAATATGTCCTGTTATGAAGAAAGCACGCCGGCACTTACTGAGGCTCTGAATATTTTAAAAGCTGCCAAATGAACAAATACAAAAGGAGTGAATCCAGAACGGATTTATTAAGCGGTTATTACACGAAGTGAACCGAGGTAAGTCTTGAAATATCCAGCGGAAGCAAATGCGCTTCCATTATCATGTGCAATCACTAATAGAACACATACTCTAGATGAGTGGTTCATAAAACGTTGTGGCGCACTTCGAATGTAGAGCGGAAGAGGATAGAATGTGAGGCGGAAAGGATAGGAGGTTAGGCGGAAAAGGATAGCAGGTGAGGCCGAAAAGGATAGCAGATGAGGCGGAAGAGGATAGCAGGTGAGGCGGAAGTGGATAGAAAGTGAGGCGGAAGAGGATAGCAGGTGAGGCGGAAGTGGATAGAAAGAGAGGCGGAAGAGGATAGCAGGTTAGGCGTAAGAGGATAGAAAGAGAGGCGGAAGAGGATAGCAGGTGAGGCGGAAGAGGATAGCAGGTTAGGCGGAAGAGGATAGCAAGTGAGGCTGAATGACTGAAAGACAATCAAAGATTTAGAAACAGTTTTAAAAAATTCATAATTTCAAATTTTAAAATATTATGGATTACTTGTAATTGAGTGCATGAGTCCCAGTATAAATAGTTATAAGTAATTATTGACCAGTTTTATCACTGTGATATTTTTAAATTATATCAAGTATATATAGAATATACAGAATATAGTAACTAGGGTTTGCAAGTTGGAGGAGAGAGTTCTCAATAATGTTCTGACTTCGAATTTGCGGTTATCTCCCTTTCACCCTCTCTCTGTTTTTTTTTGGGGGGTGTCTTTTAAATATGCTTTTTATCACATAAAATTTGGTGAGGCACGAGCAAATTTTCATTCCGAAATGGGACCCAGAGAAAAAAGAAGTTTGGGAATCACTGCTGTTATGTTCCTTTTCGTACTAATATTCATGGGAAAGGTGTATATTAAATAGTACGATAGACTAAGCTCTTTAGCCTTGGTGGGGTAGAAAAGGATAAAGGACGACGCTGAACTCTAAACTAAATATCCCAAGAAGTCTTCCATGCAGACAAATACTGAATTCATTGACATTCATCAATACTCATAGTTGATGTGAGTTCTGACAGGTGGGGTGAGAGGTGTGGTGTAATGCGATTCAGCAGTGGCGACAGCAATTTGTATGACAAGCCAGGATTTTTTTCCATTGCTGGCGAAAAGGCGTAGCCAGTGATGGTGATAGTGTGGCGTCAACATCACTGCATGGATAAGAAGAATTAAAGCCTTAAGTATAACGAAAGTAGGGAGGTAGGTATAAACAATAGACTGATATCATTTTTCTTTTAAAAAATTAGTATTATATTTTGAAGTCGGGTACAAGGCCAGGATAGTGGGACGCTTCGTTAGTATATCCCTATTAAGCAGCTGTTGCACCAAGATTGAGATAAGTCCAGGAATCTTCAGTGTGTGCATGAAACAACTTTGTATCTATCCTATGTCATCTATAATCGATAGCACACATAAAATTAATCATTTCATGACAGTCATTAAGTGCGGGTCATCGTTGTAACTTAGGTACTACCTTTATTTATAATTTGGTTTTAGAAGATTAATGACAAATCCCACTCTAGTCTGTTATGTCCCCTTTCGTAATAATATTCATGGGAAAGGTGTATGTTAAATAGTACGATAGACTAGGCTCTTTAGCCTTGGTGGGTAGCCAGTCTAGAGAAAAGACGACACTGAACTCCAAACTAAATATCCCAAGAAATTATGACAATGCACCCATGTTAAAGATAGAATCTGTGGAGAGTCAAGATAACCAACTTCTGGAAGTCAGGTACTACCTGTATTTATAATTTGGTTAGAAGAGATTAATGTAAGATGGTCATTTCACTTGTGTATATATTTAATATTCTTGAACTAGTCAGGTACAAGGTGCTAATAGTAAAGCGCCTGACAATAATCAAACTATCAATGGTTTGAAAAATTTAACTATGATAATCGTTCTGCGACTAGCACGGCTTTAAATTTACTAAGATTAACCAAATATTACACAAAAATTCAATTGTGAAGCATTCACTTAGGATCGAACTCATTACCAATTGATTTTAAATATAATTCACTTATTGTTCCACGTCAAGCGCCTTTGAACATTTAGTAAGCTTAGTCTGTTACAAGGCTACAATAGAGGAGCTCTCAGTGAGGATGGAACTCACCAACGCTGATTTGCCATGCGATGGAACATCTGAAAGAAGCCAGTTAACAAACCTCACCAGACCAGCACTCGATCCACTTACTTGATACACTTAAATCTTTGAGGGCAAACACTTTACGAAAAATCTTATGATACTGTTAATCGCCAGCACGGCTTTTGATATGGAACCTCAAGGCACGTGGTTTTCAGTCTTATGCTGTGCTTGTAGGCGTGTCCGAAAGGGGAGGGAGGGTGGGAGAGAGAAAGTGACAGATAGAGAGAGAGAGAGATTGAGGGAGAGGAGAGAGAGAGAGAAAGATTTCCTGTTCATCTTGAAGAGGGAAGATGAGTAAGGAGCGGAGAGTAAGACCAGAAAGCGACAGCGTGCAGAGGTTAGTAAAGTTTATTCAAAGGGTACCTTGTTGACCCGGATCCTCGCATTAAAAAGATTAGTGTCTTTAATCGTTGTCTTCAGACACCCATTAGTGACACCAAACGCCCATCACCCAGTTCTGAGGAAGGACGAGGTATTTATGAAGATGGCAGGTGCCATTTCACTTGTTGGTTTCTTGCGAACAACTGTTGACACTCCAAACCGGATGAAATTAGACACTGGCCTTTGACCTCCTCCCAACGCAACCGGGATTATGAAAAATAGAAAAAATAAGCAAGTATCATGTCTATATTTTTAGACATGCAGCAACATGTTCTATAAATTCGTATTTTGTTTGTGTTTCAATCAATCCATTAGACCTCCTGTAATCCGCCATTCTTTTAATCCGACTAATATTTGATCAAAATGTTTTTAATCACGTCTATACTTCTGAGATGATGTATTATGTACACTATTTACATTATTCGGACTATCGTCCTCGTCTTTGTCGCCATATTTATTACAACATTTCGGCCGCTGTACGCTCCGGCCTTTTTCAGGTGGTTGGAATGTCGAACTGAATCTTTTATTTCGCTCACTGGGGTAGACTGTTCTAGTTCCCTGTGCCATGTTTAATGGATATCAGTTATTTCCTGTTAATTCCCATCTGCAAGTTCTCCAGTGCCATAACCGGGTATTGAACTAGTCACTTTCATGTATAATATAAAATATTGAATAATGAATAGGTATGATATAAAAGCCACAATATCTTTATTCTTTAATATAAACCAGTTATAATGATATAGGCCTAAACAAGTTAGGAACGTATACATAGGTTTTATGAGATTTATAAGCCATGATCACTTCATGACATAAAGAGGAGTAAGAGTCGAAGGTTTTGTGTTCCAACTCCACAGACATGTATAGTAATAGTAATGGAAATATTAGCCGTTTCCCTCAAAGGAAACATTTGGCATCCATTGACTGAGCAGTCGATACTGCTTTCAGTTGAATTTATAAATTTTTTCTCTTAAAACAATGTTTTCGGTAAATAATGTTTTCATGTCCATTGGCTGTTATTGCTCTTTCTATTACTGATAGGAGTTTCCATGCTAACCTTTTATTTGAAGTAATTCGGAATCTTGATTATGTCATTATTTTCTCTTCAAGTAACATGTGCTATCCATTTTAGTTGCTGCTACTGTTGGTAGTCCTCAAGTGATATGCTTTCTGTTATTTGCTACAGTTCATATTTGGAAGAATTAAGTAACTTAAACATTTTATCCCTTATTTCTACCCCGACATCACTTGACCTTGTACCATACTAAGCAAAGCTAAAAAATGTCTTCATTATTAGTCGATCTTAAATTGGTAACCAGTGATATCTAGATAGATATTTCTGATTACATTATATTTATTGGTTGCACGTGTTTGAGCCGACGTCCCTATTCTTAAACAATGTAAATTTATGTCTACCGGCATGTGTATTCAAAGTCTTAATAAAGAAAACGTGCCTCCCGGAAGGTTTCGAAACAATCGTTTAGCTCGGTGTGCTTTTAGACGGCTAAGCCACCGAAAGACATTTACAGACAAGCCTAGTGCCCTATTCTATTAGCCTATTTCAGCAATGAACATCTCTTGTTCAGATGCCATAGACATGGACAGACTGTAATAGGTTCAGAAGGAGAGACATGCACATAGATAGATAGATAGATAGATAGATAGATAGATAGATAGATAGATAGATAGATAGATAAGTTTGGACAGGCTCTAAACAAGAAAAAATACAAGCTATTTTTTTATCAGTTGAAAGATAAGTAGACACATTTTGATTTATTTTAAGTTAAATCTAAACATGAGTCATTGTTTGAGAATATACAAGCTTTTGACACATGTCATGATGTATGAAACATCTACGTTAGTAGATTATATAAGCCTGTTTTACTTTAGTTTCCCTCTATACATATCTATCTTTTTATTTGTATATCAGCATATCTTGTATAATGCTGTTCTTATCAATCCCAGCCTGGTCATCTCTCTCGCTCTCTCTAGCTATCTATCAATTTATCTATCTATTCTGGAAAAGAATAGATCTTTATTGAAATGACAGATGTCACTGGGTTAGATATCTGCTATAAAAAAAACTGTTATAGATCCTATTGCACAAATGAGTTGCCCAGGATTATGAATCCTGCTCGCTTGTATACAAAAGGTTTCAAATAATAACTCTATAAATCATAAGAGCGTATTCAAGAAATATTTACGACCCGGCTTAGTTGGGCGCCTGTTGCAGAGAATTGATTAACAGACTCATCATTACTATGGTACTGAGTTCAATCCTCGTGTAGTGTTCCAGTGTTTCGCCTTTCTGCCAGACTGATAAATATCTACACTCGTCATCTGTCGTAATAAAATGGGTCTTTTGTAATGCTCTACGATTATAGCTTTGTCCCAAATTTGTAAATATCTACAAGTGCCTGCCGTAAAGTGAGTTTTACAAGTTTATCTAACAGACCATTATGTATCGAGTTCGGTTTTTCAAGTAGCTCAGTTATTATATCCCTGTGCCAGACTTGACAATACATCTATATCTACCGTTGTGTCTACATCATTTGTCAGCGTTTTTTTTTCTTTTGATTAGTCTTTTAATTGAAACTGCTTCAGTTCCCTCCATTCATCTGCCTGACTTCTGTCTTTAGACCGTGATCAAAGCGTAGTATCTGTTCTCCTCATTTTAGATTTGAGAAGGCGCCTGGTCCCAGGGATTCCAACCATGAGACAGAATCTTCCTTGCTGCACTAAGAGAGGTGGAATCTTTGACGCAAGGATATCATTGGAGAGCAGATCAGATTGAAGAATCAGAGAGCCGAGTCGAATTTACATTCACTTACGTGCTAATCCTCTGCTTCTCCCCACATCTATGGATAAATAGCAAAACAGACTGTAACAGCCAGTCTAGGAGAAGGACAACTCTGAATTCAAAACCTGCAGAGGGTCGTTTGGGGACCTTGCGTCTTTTCCAAAGTGTGGTTTGTTCTGCAAAAAGCCTTATATATATATATATATATATATATATATATATATATATAAAAACAAATAAATTTGTTTACATTTGACACACCATGAGAAGATATGAATGTAAGTGAGAGATTATATATATATATATATATATATATATATATATATATATATATATATAGAGAGAGAGAGAGAGAGAGAGAGAGAGGATGGTTCAGCACAAATCTTTCACCACTATAATCAAATCATATGTACTGGTGTCTGGCCGTCGGTTCTAGGAACTGAACTGTTTTGACCCTCATACGTCGAATACGACGGGAGAGTCCACCATATATATATATAGTGTGTGTGGATAGTTCAGCACAAAGCCTTCACCACTATAATCAAATTATATGTGCAGGTGTCTGGCTGTCGGGTCCAAGGGAAGCCTCATACGTCAAAAAAAAAAAGAGAGAGAGAGAGAGAGAGAGAGAGAGAGAATAGTAATATATAATTAGAATTAATACAAGTAAAATGTTGTCATTTAGCTGATTGATGTTACCTTCAGCATCCCGACTGCAAAGTTTTGTAAACGGACCTTCCGGAAATCACTTCGTCCACTCGTCAGGGGTACCAGCAATTGACTACTTATACTTCTCGATTATTCTTTTTTTATATGCACTTTTCATTGGTGCAAGATTTATTTGTTATAGTGTATGTGTGCGTGCGTGTGTGTACATGCTCACGTCTGCACGTATGTGTAGAATGTCGTGGTTATTTGTCCATTTCGCAGTTTTTTATTATCACTTTACACCCACTTCTTAACCTTTTCTCTCTTTCTCCTTTTCTTTCAATTGTAGCTATTTTGACTTCCGGTTTTCTATTTTTCTCTTCGTCTTTCTATTTCCTTCCTTTCTTGCGTATATCTTTTTAGCTTCTATCCGTCCATCTTTCTCTTTCTAATATTTATGCATTAACTTTCTTTCTACCTTCTATCATCCTACATCTGAAATTTATGAAGTTTATCTTCATATGGTCGAAAGAAAGACATGTTGAGAAAGGAGGAAGATTGTATTACGCCAATCTTTGAAATGAAAGAAGAATTAGTCTGCTTTGAGTAATCACTATTCAGATTTTTAGCTTTCAGCTAGGCTCGAACACAGACCTCTGCTTTAATGAGAAATACACAAAGAGGCAGTCTCATCACTAGTTTTGATTCATGCTAACAACTCAATAATAATTCCATTTTGTGTCTTTCGTTCCATCCACCAACTGTATCTGTGTGTCTGTTTCTTCGCTCACACCCTTCTCAATCTCTCTCTCACTTTTATCACCCTCTCTCTCTCTCTCTTTCTCTCTCTTTCCCTCTGTATCTATCTTTCTTTGTCAATATAATCTGTCACGTTGTTTCTTTTCTTCTTCCTTTTCCTAACTGATATGAACTGACATCAGTCCTTTTTGTAATTGCTCTGTCCCTTTTTCACACACACCCTCTCCCACTCTCTCTCCCTCCCTCTCTCCCTGTCTCATTTTATCCCTTCTTTCTCTATTTATTGCTCTGTCTTCCTTCTTTTCTTTCTTCGTCTCTATTCTTCTCTTTCTTTCTTGCCTTTTCTTTTTTTCTTTGTCGCTTTTTCTTTTTTTAGCTCTTTCTTGCTTTTTCTCGCTTTCTTTCTTTTCTCTCTTGCTCTGTCTCTTTTCTTTCTCTCTTGATCTTTTTCTCTTGTTTTCTTTCTTTTTCTCCTCTTTCTTTGTCTCGCTTTCTCTCTCTCCTTCTCTCTCTCTCTCTCTCTCTCTCTCCTTCCCGCACTTCCTTTCTCGTTCTATCTGCTTACACTATATATGTGTCTCTCTCTCCCACCCCCTTGCCCTCGTTCACCAACTCACTCTTTTTCTGTCTATCCAATCACTCCCTTCCTTCCCTACGGTCCAACTGGCTGGCATGTGTCAGTAATAAGGTATCAGAATAAAACCACCTTTCATGTTGAAACTTGACAGAACGCCAGCTTTCTTTCGGGGCCCCGCGGCCTTCTGAAATCTGAAAATCACTGAGTTCGGCTGACTAAAGATGGGGATTGGGCATAAATATTTATACATATTAATTTATTTCTTTATTTTGTTTAAGGGTGGAGGGCAAATTACAAATTCAGTTTTGTCTTTAAAACAAAAACGAAAGCAAAACTCATTATAGGATATAAAATTCGACCAAAAATGAAGGCCCATCTTAGAAAATTGTTAGATGATTAAATGAATGAAAGTCTCATTGCTGCTACTTCTGTTCGGCTGAATAACAGAGTACGGCAGCTGACTGACATCAAATATACTCGAAATGGTCAGTCGTTGTGACAAAAACTCGAAGACAGGAGTTACGGTTCAAGTAACCAGTTTTTGTTACAGTATCAAATGAAATTGGTGTGCAGAGATCAAATCTTGATCACTTCGCTGTAATGCTTTTGGGAAAGGCATGAATCCATATCTTTCCTCCCCACCTATGGATAAAATGTTAGACTAAACTATCTAACCTTAGTTGGCAATCAGTCTCGAAAAATGACAACGCTGGATTCAAACCAGTGGAGAAAATATTCTATTACATTTCCCAACACCTTTCATGGTAATTTTCTAAATAAAAGAAAATTGTGAAGAGCCATGATCTATGTCCAGAAGGAAAATGAAGTTAAAAAAAAACACAATCGAGGGAAAATACAACACAGCAAAGAAAAAATACTGTTTAGTTCAATATGAGAACAATTCGTTACAACCTTCTCCACTTATAAAATATCCAGCTATAAAAAGAAAAAAAAAGGAGATCGTATATATCAGAGTTCCCAAAGTGGGTTTCGCAAAGCTCTAGTGCTTTGTGAGTGAGGACAAGAATCTCCTTGTTTATTATTTGTATGATGCCATAATGAGGTCGTACCAAAAGAAAGAACACTATTAGTAAACACAAAACAGAACATTTTCACCACAAACCCGGACGTGCCAAAAAAAAGGGATAAATAAATTTCCAATTATACTTTTCAGAGAGAGAATAATTAATAAATGGATTTATATAATATTTCGTGTTTGACATTTCGTCGCTATCGCCAAAAAATGCGTGTATAAGAAAATAGACTAAATGTAGCTTATAGAAGATGCAGGTTATAGAAAATACAGATTATAGAAGATGCAGATTATAGAAAATACAGATTATAAGAAATGCAAATTATAGAAAATAGACTAAATACAGAGAATGATATGAGGCCACAAGTTATACTGAACATGCCCGACTTTGAAAAGGTTTACATCTCAAAAACAACTACACATTAGTCACAAAAATTTGACTTAATTTTTTGTAAATAATAATAACTGTTAAAAGTCAAATTTATTCTTTTTTCATGCATATTTTTAAAGATTTAAATCTTAGGATTCCGTGAAAATCTTTTCTCGTGCTCAAGAATTCTACAGAACCGAAAAAATTGGAAAACGGTTCTATAACAAAAATACATAGAAGAAATATTTCAAAATATTCTGACCTAAATAAACTTTAGCTTTTCTTTTAAAAAGGAGAAACCAATCCGCCTCGTCGTATTAATTGGATTTCTACGGCTTATCAACCCTTTGCAGGTTATTTAAAGCCAGAAAATAACCAAGTCTAGCCCATAGCTAGGGGGAGAAGAGGGAGATTCATGCCTAATCAAAATTTGATAAAAAAAATAGAAATTAGAATATAGCTATAAAGTGGGGGATCAATTCTATATTACAATTAATATAGAAACTGATCCCTCACTTCATAGTAGTTTCTATGCATTTACATTCGAGTACGTAATAAACCTAAAAGACATTCCTGTTTAGCTAATCAGTATTTCATTGATTGATTCGTTTTCTACGGCTTATTAACAATCAAGAAATTATAATGTGGATATAAAGTGGGGGATCAATTCTACATTACAATCAATAAAATGATCCCTCACTTTGTGGTCACTGTAGTTTCTATACATTTATATTCCAGAGAATGTAAATAAATCTAAAAGACATTCCTGTGTAGCTAATCAATAGTTCATTGATTGACTGATTCGTTTTTTACGGCTTATCAACCCTTTGCAGGTTATTTAAAGCCAGAAAATATTTTGAGATTCTAAGAATATTTTTCGTTATTTTAAAAATGATTAACTCATTGAGTGTTGCTCAGTGATAAATGTTCCCTATTTACACGTACTTTCACTGTACTTTCTTTATAAAAGGGTTTGTTTTTTTTAGGGGGACGCTTGATTCGTACTTTTACCTTCCTTAAAATCATCAGGTATCGAAAATGTTCCTAATTTTATTTCATCTTCAATGTTAAAATCAATAAACAAAAATACTCCAATTTTGACATTTAACAAAATGCACATTATGACAGCTGTCAGAAAAGCGATCCATTTGTAGTTCATTCAAACTAAACACTCCTAATGCCATCCTACGACACAAACAGAATGAATCATTTAGTCAACGCAGATAGATATCAATGATGGTTAACAAGTTCGTATAGAAGACCATTGCTATTGTGTGGTTTCATTATTCACTCAATACCTCACGACTTCGGCCTTGTGTCAGATTAAGTAAAGCATAATAAATAGCTGAGGGCACCTTCCTATAGATTTGTTTGTTAGAAAACTAGTTCCACTGACCAAAATTGGATTTTTCTCTTTCCTTGTAAATGATACACTTGGCGATAATGAGGAAATCAATCGGACGAAACGCTATGGTAACATCCGTAGCTCAAAAGAGTTCAATTGTTTGAACCAAACTAGGAAAATAATAGTAGAGGTCCACCACCGAATTTCCGGTAAAAGTGGTTCGAGAGCCATTTACCGGACCAACGGAGGTCATATATTAATGTCAACTATTCGTTTCTGGTCCGCGAATTATTCATTTCTCATATATTTGTACGCAATATTCGACAAAGCTATTTCTCCAGCTTTCGTAGATTTTCTAATGTCCTTTGGCTTCTTAGAATCAGATATTTTTATCTCGTTAAAAAAAATACAGTTGATTAACCAATAACATACGTCCTCAAGAACTTATGGAATCAGCACATATGCTAGGCCACAAAAAATCTCCTGAGCCGACCAAGCATAGAAATGAATACAATATAGGAAGCAGTAATAGGGAGGGCCAGAGAAAAACGATAATAACAAAAAAAATTGCAATATGAACTCTGGTAAAAATGTGTTCTGAAGACAATAGGTTTATAATACCCAGAAGTTCATACACAGATGCCCCCAAGGACTGGATAAAGGCGTTGGTTAGATCCAGTGACAGGACCCAAACAGCGTGAGTTCAATACCCGGTTAAGGCAGTGGAGAACTTGGAGAGGGGACAATTAAAAATCACAGTCTAGTTCGACATTGACATGAAGAAAAAATCATGGCGACAAAGATGAGGACAATAGTCGAATAGTTCGACATATCTCATCTCAGAAATATAGAAGAAAGGCGGAAGTGTTGTAATAAATATGGCGACAAAGATGAGGACAATAGTCCGAATAATCTAAATAGTGAACATAATACCTCATCTCAGAAATATAGACAGATACTGAAAGGCCGAAGTGTTGTAATAAATATGGCGACAAAGATGAGGACAATAGTCCGAATAATGTAAATAGTGTACATAATACCTCATCTCAGAAATATAGACAGATACTGAAAGGCCGAAATGTTGTAATAAATATGGCGACAAAGATGAGCACAATAGTCCGAATAATGTAAATAGTGAACATACGTTTCTTATAGCATTTGTACTGAAACAAATTTTTTCTCTTTTCTTGTATTAATAAGACTTACGTCAGTTGGCGTTTTACAAGGCCACTGAAACCTGAACTTTGGCAGAAAGACATTACTTTTTTTTTAATTGGTATCACCCCAACCAAAGTAGTAATGCCACTAAGACACAATTGGTTACAGAGTGTGGGAAAATTAGCAACAGAAACATTAATAATGAGCAGGAAGAGAAAATAGTAATCAGGATAGTAGATAGCGATTGACATTGCATTTAACTTTTTGCAGATTAAAGTTAGCTGGAAAGCATGGATCT